ATATGGGTCCAGGGTTATCAAATGAAGTGTCTTCTGTCATCCTAGGCACTTAAATCGTCTTGTCCGGGATAGGAGGTGATACTAAAAACTTTTTTTTAATTAAATCTATGAAGGGTCCACCTTGTAATTTTTTTCGAAAAATATGTGTTCAGGATTATCAAACGATATGTCTTCTGCAATCCTAAGTCATTAAAATTGCTTGTCCGGATGCGAATGCTTCTGTACAACTTTTATTACGAGTATTTCAATTTGATAATGGACGGAGAATCTGCACACCCTGTAGTTTTTGAATAGAATTGTATTTTGGATGTTCTAGAGATGTGCCCTTTATTGTCCTAAACTGATAAAATTATCTATTTGTGTGCAGAGTCTGGTCTGCGAATTTTTATATTTTATGGATAACTTTTATGGCTAACTTCACTCAAGTCGCAGCAGATCATGATTACAATGATCGTAATTGTACATTGGGTTCTTTTAGAACTTATTATTATCTTTTGTCCAGGAAGAGCGGGGATAGCTGGTTCCCCTTGCCCCTCCAGGTGGCGCCAATGTGTGGAAGTTTCCAAAAAGTTTCACTTAGGTATATCCTTTAAAAATTAAAGAGAATATTTCGATCAAAGTTACAATTTTCTTTATCTAATGAATATTTTAGGTTTAATATTAATTTTGTATTGTGCATGGCATGCTTTAACCATTAATTCGAAATTAAGGAAAATTGTTTGTGTACTACGCTCATGTGGTGAAAACTGCACGTAATATATTTACACCCATTAAACATTCCATACACAAAGGCTAAGGTGGTAACATGTACTTAACACTTAACATTGTTTAAACCATAAAAAAACTAAAATCACGTAAGGTTTTCTAGTTAAGGCGGTTTTCCACTAAACGAACAAAACAAAAACAAAATACAAACTTGAGTCGAATAAAACAGAACTGTAACTTTTCGCAAACTTTTTGAAGACTGGCGTGTTTTGCGACAGTTGGAGTTTTGTTTTTCGGGTCCCGCTCGAAAGCGGTCACATTAAAAGGTTTCGACGTGTTTTGAAACTCAAGTCTGTTTAGTGGAAACGGTCGTGTTGTGTTTTCTATTTAAATGATCCAACCCAATATCTATGTTGGCGTTTTCTTCTTCCCAAAAACAATATTTTAATCATTAATGAATTATAGCTATTAAAAAATATATATGTGTATGGTTAAGGTGTTTACTTGGCTAGTATACAAACTAACTAACTAACCAAATAAACACTTTGACCGTACATATATACACTTTTTTTTTCCAAGGACTTCAGTATAAACCATCCATAACTAAGAATACAAAAATCTTCTCTAAACATGTTGGTTGATTATTGGAAAAATGTGTTCTGACTTCCTCGCGACAACCAGTGGAAAAGGACCGAATACAAAAACAAAACTCGAACAAAATGTAGCCCGCTTGATGGAAACAAGAGTTTTGGGCTTGTTTCAGTTTTGATTTTGCTTTTGAGGTTCTAGAAAACACAAACAGGACATAAACTCAACTGTCCGTTTAGTGGAAAACCGCCATTTATACTTTTACGAAATTATGAAAAAATGTGTACAATGTTCAGAATTTTAAAATGTGTTTTATGTTGTTCTGAAACTGGTACGTTCTTTACAGATTTTTCCCTCTGAAACCAAATATATTCCAAATTTTTCCATCGGTCAGGTTTTAACATAAAACGTAGCAAAATTATCTTATTTTGATGAAAATGTAAGGAATTGTTTAAAAAATCATAACATTCAAAAAAATTTTGTCCATAAAAATATGTGCATAAACCTAATTTAAATGTAATTTAATAGGCAACAAGGCACAACAATCTAATAGAGAATAACACAGGCCGACTCTCTAACGCAGAAACCAGAATGTACTTTTCCGAAGGATTTTGGTGCTCCGAATTAGAATCCGAGGTCCAAATTTCTCAATTGGCTCTAGTTTTCCAGATTTTCTAACCTAAAAGTACCAAAATCACGATTTCTTGACATATTTGAGGTCATGGATACATGGATAGGTATATTTTTTTGTTAAAACCATTAATGGGGTCTTAAAGTCTTACTTACTCTTTAAAATGCACTTGAAATTTAGTAGGTAGTTTCACTTATTTCTCGATTTTTGAATATACTGACAACACAGCACCACAAACCTAAATTCATCTGCACCCGGAAGTAGCGATCGTACATATTTTTGGGGTCGCTGATCAAGAATCTGAACTCCAAAATACTCTATCCGTCAAATTTTCCAATAAACTTAAAAAATATCTAAAAACTCGATATATTGGCCGATATTTTACGCATTATACCAATCTGGAAATATATTTACACGCAAAAGAGGCTCAGTCTCGAGCTCATGAACCTTAAGCTCAAAAATTCTAAACCCCTGAACCCATAAACTCCAAACCCATATCGTGAAAAAATCGAGAAATAACTCAAACTACTAAATTTCAACAAGCGATTTCTCAAGGATGAGAAATGATATGGGGATAAATCCAAGTGCGTTTTAAAGAGTAAGTATAGTACTTTAAGACCCCATTAAAGGTTTCAGCAAAAAATTTCCCTTTCTATGTAACATAACCTCAAATATGTCAAAAATCGCGATTTTGGCACTTTTAGGTGAAGATACCTCGAAAACCAGAACCAATTGAGAAATTTGGACCTTCCATTCGAATTCAGCGCACCAAAATCCTTTGCGAAAATATATTGTTGGGTTAAAATCTTGTCGGCCTGTGTAATTTAACTCTTTAAGTCCGTACTAAGTATATAATTTATGGAATTTCTATAGAAGTATACTATATTTGCCGTTAAATGAACTAATTTGATGGAAAATTGTTTTAGCTTTCATAAATTTTAATTTTTGTATTAAATATTGGCCGTTACCATATGGTAACGCTAGTACCTTCACTGAGGATAACAAAATGCAATATGAAGTGTTGAATATCTGTTCATTGAGGAAATATAAAAAAATACTTGTATTATTAGGTGAAAAACTGGCATTATTATATAGTAACGCTGACGTCGACAGGTCCGCAAACAGGCACAAAAAAGATTTACGTCAAATGTTTATAAATATAATTATTCCTTCATTTGTTATGTACATTCTAGCAAAAGTAATAGAGAGAAATAGTTAGTCAAATAATATTTATTTAGAAAAGTTGTGGTATTTTAAATCAAAATTAAATCCCCTTGAACGGACACCCTGGGAATCATTTGTTTCTGTGGTGAACGGTGAAGGTAATCATAAAGCAAACTACCCGCAATTGATAGCAGAACTAAGAAACTATAAAAATTTAAGGTGTCGCATGTCATTGAAAATCCATTTTCTTCAGTCACACTTGGATTTCATTCCTGAAAACCTTGGTGCTATAGGTGATGAACATGGGAAGCGGTTTCATAAGGAAATCAGCACTATGGAGTAGATATATAAAGTAAGATCGGATGCAGGAATAGGGGTGACTATTACTGGTTTATTGTAGTGGGCAACCAAACTCCTCATAAGAGGAAAAAATAGTGAATCTGCACTTTTCTTCTTGGACAAGATTGCATTGAAATTATACACTGTCTTGGCTTCTTTTCTTTTTTATACTGGCTCTTTTTGGGGGTTTAATTTTGGCCAGCAAAGTTCAGATGTAGGTATATAAAAAAATATTTTTATAAAAATTAAATGACATATAGCAGTAACACAGAAATGTGATGTGACACGTAGTTTTTAATGCGATTTTCGTGTTCAGCAGATGCGTATTGGTAAAGAGCACTATTTCGTTCGTGTTATTGAGAAAAATTTGAAATTTGTTTATGCTAAAGCTACGCAGGGCTCTGTGCTAGCTAAGTTCTATGTTATTAAAAGTTGTAAATACTCGGACGCATTCAATATTTTGATATGGATAGATATGATTGATATTTTTAGACATGCTTTAGTAAAGAATACTGAATTGTATATAATTGTATTAAATATATCGGTATTTATCATATCAATGATATAATTTTACCAGCAAGACTTAGAAGACTATCTATGTTAATGACATAGGTATCCCTGTTGATAATAAAATGCTTATTATTCAGTGTAAATATGAATTAATTATATTATAATGTGATTTCCTCATGTAAGGATACATTCAGACTCATAGGGCAAGAAAATAAAATGCACTGACGACCGATTTATTCAAGAAACTTGACTAAGATTTATATAAATCGAGTTTAAT